AGGTCTGGCAGGCTGGTACTGCCTATGCAGAATGTTCTGGAAGATGGCTTGGTTGCCTGGCAATGCATGACATCATTCTGCGCTTGTGTGCTCCCTTGCATGCATATTATGTGATAAGGTCTGGAGTTAAGGGTTCCTAGCACAGCATAAGCTGTGCTATTTGTTTGGAGGCTGTGCGCAAAGGCTGCGAAGGTGAGATCCCCTGCAGCAATATTCCCTCACAAGGAGTCCCCTGCAGCAGAAATCCCTCACTCTTCAATATAAAAGAAGGGCCTCTCCCCACCAGAAAGTCCCTTCTCCCCATCAGCCTACAGAAGTCTCGCAGAGCAGTAAGTTGGTCCTGAGCTACTGGAAGTGTTCCGGAGTGTCAGTAAAGTGAAGAGTTAGAATTAGTGATAGTTAGTTAGTTAGTAAAGTAAGTACATCAACCTACGGAAGTAAGTTCGATCACCCAAGTTGAAGAATAAGTTAGTAAGTGAGTTAGTTAGTGATAAGTAGAGAGTTAGTACAGTATTGTAAGCGTGAAACCAACACAGAGTTCGGAATTTGAAGCATATTAGTAGTAGTAGTCATCATATAAGTAGTAGTACATTAACAATTAACCAATAACAAGTAGTAGTAGTATTAGTACCGGAGCTCTAGTTTTGATTAAAGTGCCTTAGCAAGAAATTGTTCGAGGAAGAGATCATTAACAAACTCTATAACAACTCATCTGTTTTGTGCTCAAGTCATCAGCACCACAGTTTCCATTATTAACCTGAAGCTGTAACAGATTCATTAGTAGATTGATACATGATCTAGGTCTGATGGAGATTACTTTACGAAAGTATAATCTATCTTGGAATCAGCCATACATTAATAAATATTGATTACAAGACTCTTAGTAATTTTTTAGTACATTTAGAGGGGCAGGTCTTTCAAACCACCCATAAGTTGTAATAGCCTTTCAACCTACTTGCAATTTATTTCCCCCTCAAGGGATCTTTTGATATACATATACTTTACCGTGTCTATCCGTCCCAGGAGTCCTACACCGGTCAACGAGGTACATGCCTTCCGGAGAGCCTCACCTACCTCTCCCAAGAACTGCACACAGTGAAATCAACTCTTTCAGGGATCATGAGCTTCTGGAGGAGACTGAAACAAACCATTCAAAACCCCACCTTGGTTAACCACCCCTCACTACTGATTTCAACAAAAAAAAACTCAAGCATCAGCTTGAGGATCAACACCAAGCCCCAATCAGGTGGGTCATGAAGGGCCTTGCCATTCAAATTTGGAGCCAACCCATCTTCCAACAAGCCCATAATCTTGGCTACCAAAACCAAAGGGCTGTCAAGAAGCAGCAGGCTAGAGTAGGAGGCTAGCCTTAGCCTTTGAAACCAGTCACCTTTTCTGTGCTGACAAAAATTGGTTCTCCATACTCTGGACAAACAAATCATCCTCTGAGCTCAGTAAGAACTCCAAAGTAATCTTGGTCTGGCTTCAAACTGACAAAAATTATCACCCCAACTGCCTTGAACCAAGTTTAAAAAATGGAGAGTCTTTGAAAATGATCCGGAGTGGCTTCTTTGATAAAACCAAACCCCCTGTTCTCTTCATCCTCTCAGCCAGTTATAGGTGGTACCAACGGTGGGCCGCTACACTAACTGTAGCGGTTAGTGTAGCGTAACGCAGCAAAATTGCTGTTAGCGCTTAGCGTAGCGTAGCGGGATTCTGCCACGACACCGCTAACGCTACGCGTGTGGGCCCCAAAAAAGGGCCCACTACGCTGCGCTACAGCGCTTTTTAGCGGTTTTTGGCCGCTTTTTCCGCTAAAAGCGCTGTAGCGCAGCGTAGCGTAGCGAAAACCCGCTAAAAAACGCGCTAACACTACGGTTTTTGGATGAAAAAAAAGCGCCACTACGCTACGCTTTCTGGGCCAAAAGCGTAGCGGCCCACTGCTGGTGGTACATAAATGGCCAAGGACTTAAATCTGGAGATTTGAAAATTGGGGAGCAACTCTTATATCTTTGGACAAGTTTGCAGGAGAAGTGAATTCCAAGCCCCAGATTTGGTTCCAGTACCATTTTAGGACATTTGTAAGTGAGCATGGAGATTTTCTGCTTCAATTCCTGGGCATTTATCCAACACCATACACATGGGAAAAATTCAGGAAAAAAAATCAATTTAAATATCAAGTTGTGTTGGTGATGGGGACAGGCCAACCAACAATTCCCAATCGAGGATTATAAGGAGCTGATGCCTGTTGAGGTTAAGATGGACCACCAAAGATAGATTGAGAATTTGAGGATCTTGTTGGCCCAAAGGGTGTGTCACAGTGGTCTGGTCACCCGGGGGTAAAGCCACACCCCCGACGGGGCCCCGCCCTTGCGCGTATGTAATGAAGGCATTCTTGAGGTGGTCGAACTATTGATCTCAAATTGCCGAATCGACATCACCCAGGGCGAGGACGACGAGGAAGAGGAGGAGTGAAGATAACGAAGAGCTGAAATAAATAGGTTCGATGTCCACTCTACTATCACTTCCTATCGAGGTCTGCAGTGTGCTTCAGTGACCAACTTTACTCGATCTATCTATGTACTATAAAGACTAGAGATTGATCGACGGGTTATCTGAAATTTTCTTCCGTCTGAGGAAAACAGATCTTACAGGACATCCATCTCCTCTCGACATCCGAACACCTGCCGCTAACGTGTAAGCGACTCTTGGATATATACTCACGCACGACCACCACGCGGTATCGGGCGCAATTCCTATGGAAGAAGTATGTGCTGAAAGACTCAGAAGACGGCTCAGTGTCCAAGAATCGTAGTATAAGGGACGGTGCTGCGGGGCGAGAGAGACGGAAGAAGATCCGCTGGGACGCTATCCTGGCCACCCCGGCATGCTCGATCGAAGTGCTCCAGATCCTACGAGACTTCTTTCACTCCGATCTACCCGCTCCTTCGGATCCCGAGGATCTCCCCAAGATCAAGGTCTCAGCACTCCCCGTCCGACTCTTCAAAGCTTTATCCCCTACGCCCTCAGATCCCTCGCCAGCCATCATCAGGGATCACGCCGACCAGCTCGACCAAGCCTTCCGATACATTCATCTCCTCTTAACCGAATATGGCACCTCACCCGATAAGTTTGGCGGCTACCCTCTAGCACGATCCGTCCTCAGCGGGAACCTCGCCTTCGTCCGACTCCTACTCGACCATGGTGCCCGGCCAGGAGTCAAGGATAACCTCGTGATCATGGTCGCCATCGAGACAGGCGACCTGGAACTCCTCAGATTACTCATCGAACCTAACTTCATCCATCCAAAGGAAGCCCAGCAATCCTCCCCTCTCTTCCCAAACTCTCTTCCTCCCAAAAGTCATAAGAAACTTAAACTCGAAGACCGTGTTCAGATCACCGATCAAATGCTCGAACAAGCTATCAAACGCAAGGACGCCGCGATGGCCCAGTATTTCATCAATAAGGGTCTGTTCATTTAATACCCTTATCTTTGTTTTATCTCGAGATAAATCTCAACTGATTTGTTAAATCCTTTTGATATTATGTAGGTGCTAGACCGACTTTAGAAACGATCAGGTTAATCGAAGCATTACAAAACATCTGATATTTAGATATAATCTGAACCCCAACAAGATTTCTCGATTCTACCTTCTTTGTATTAGTCTTTCCTTTTTTTTTTGACACGGTTTGAATATTCGTAATATATGACACAGGAAGAAGTATTTTTTTTGTTAATTAATATTTACACTCATCTTTCTTCATTTTGTTTCGTCCTGAGTTTGTTCATCCATCCATTCAATTGTGGCAGTAATTCAAAGTCATCTTTATTAGGCATAGTCTCCTCCTTCGACTGGAGAAAATATCCCCATGTCCATCTCATTGAGCGTCAGGTGCCATGTGACATTCTTTCTCGGTTGTCTTCTTTGGTCGAATATATCAGTTGTAAGCAGCAAAACTGGTAATATTCACCATTCAAGTCCAAAACGGGGGCGAGAGAGAAAGCCACAAGGAAACAAAAGTCTCGGATGATGGGCCCAGATGTGGTCAGGTCTTGGACTACCTCGAGTTGGAAGCTCCAAATTCTCAATTAGGAAAAGAAAAAAATCATTAAAATTACACTCTGGATTGAGAGATGATAGACTCGCGAAGACAACTATCTATAGGCGGGCCCGAGGGGAAAGAGGTAAGGGAGAACGGTTTTGGGCAGCTGTATGGCTCATCAGACTACATAGCATCAAATGGCCCTTGCTCAAGAAGTTCTACCGGTGCTAGGGATCTTGTAGGATTTGACTGATAATCGAGAGAGGCGTGTGTAAGTCGGCTGAAAGTCAATCGGTGGTGTATAATTCTCTCCCCGGACATCCAACAATATTTTTTGAGAGATCCGTAGCAAGATGATCATGCTCCTGGTAAGACAGCATTATCGTCCTTTCCAGCTCTTTAGGAAGGAGATCAATGTCATTCCCGATCAAAACGAAACAAAACATCAGCCAATCAATCATGTCAAAACGTTCTTGATCAAGAACTCGGAATGGGTTGAATTGAATTTCAGACGTTGAAAACTTACAGGAATTTCTCCATAAACGAGTTCGGGACCGGGGGAGCCTATCAAAGAAGATGAAAGAAATTAGATGATGGAGAGTGAGCTTGAAGTCGATGCTTGGGAGGGGATTGGAGAAGGAAGGAAGAGAGACTAGCCTGTTCGGACTCGAAATATCGCATCACCTGAGAGGGCATCTTCCAGACGTTGACGAACTCCTGATACTCCATGTGAGACTTGGCGATGAGCACATCGATAGCTTGGACGTCTTTGACGAGCGAGTAGCGGTCGAAGATCTGTCTGATCTTAGCCCTCAGGGTCGGGTAGGGTACGTCGAGTGCATAGAGCTGCATACATGATTAGGATTTGGCAATGAAGAACTAGTTAGCAAATCATCAATCCTCTGTGGGTTCTGAGTCACTCCCTTAGATAAGACACACCTTGCAGATCTCCGGTGCTGCCCGATACCAGTCCCGATAGAGAGACCTCGAGCGAGCCTGTGCGACTGCCAAACTAGGCGAGCTTGATTATCGGCAAGGAGAGAAGGATCCCTCGTGCAAGGGAAAAACCAGGGTGATGGAGTGAGTAAGACGGGAGGAAGACTGGACAGGAAGATTGGGATTCTGCCCACCTGACTGTCCTTCGTGCCAAGCGGGACGGGATGGTGATCGTGACTGGCTTGGGCATTTTTCCTGGTGGGTGGTCGGCAGTGATGGATCTCTCTGTGCTGGTCCCGAGCAGCCCGTAGGAGTGGTACTTGAGCCCCCGGGCAGCCGAGCTACAGACCCCCGGGGGATGCCGATCCCTGCCGAGCCTGGCCACTTCACCAGAATCTCCCTCCAAATTACAGAAAGTGGAAATCTATGAAGCCCAAGGAGTCCCATATATTGGAAGACTTTGCTGTTGCTTTGGGTTCATTCATCAACAATCAGATGTTTCAAGACTAATTCCCTCATCTTGATGAAGGACCAACTTTCTCAAGCGACGGTCTCCCCATATGTGATGCAAGTGGATCAATTGCACGAGATAAAAAAAAGGAAAACCCATGCAATGTATGTACCCCCCCAGCAACATCATCTATAATTTGATATACCAAAAACACATGGATCCCTAACAAACCAATTCATTCATGAAAAATTTGTGATAGCAATGTTGAGACTGAAAACCTAAAAACCTGTTTCTTCTTCTTCTTTTATTCTTTCGGAAATTATGTTTATACACAAACAACCAAGATATATACACTCACACATAATCATTCAAGAGAGACTGATCAGAAGGTGAACATGAAAAAAAGAGGAAAAAGGACTAATCAACTTCGTTGTTTCGGCCCGCAATCACTGAAGATTATTATTAATTAATGGTTGTGCTTGTATAAATGATATTCAGATATTTGATTTTTCGCTTTTTTCTGTTGTTTTTATGTGTTTTAGATTTTACTTGGATGATTTATGATAAATGACAAATAGAGAGAAAATAAACCGAATCCTGCCCGTTCTCAGCTCTCTTGAATAATAAGCCCGTTCTATTTGAAAAAAGACGCAAGCAAAAAAAAATTCAAGGGAAAAAATAGAGGATGTGAATGATCAGAGAACAGTCAATACCCAAGCAGGAGGAAACAGTGAAGACAAGATAAGGTTCAACAAAGGAATAAGGGACTTGAGTTTTTTTTCTTTTCAATAAAACAGAGATAAGCAAAACTTTTGAATGGAGTTATCAATTGAATCAATAGGAAGAACTCGTACATAATCATCATTCTTGTTGTTGTTGCTTCGAAAGAGTTTCTTGGATGTACTCGTTTTCGAACTTGAAATAATAAGCTTCTTCAGTGGGGGGAGAATGACCGCACATTTCGGCCAATCGGGCATCTAATTCATCATGGTTTTGTTTTTCACAAAAAAAAAAGCAAAACAAGAATGATTGACAGCAGTATATGTAAGAATACTCTGGCAAATAGTGATTTCGAGACCTTGTAACTTACATTCTTCATCCGAATCTACCCGATCGAAATGTGACATTTGCCATGGAGTTCCATTGGCCAACTCTTCCTTCCTTTTAGCTCTTTGTTCATTCTTAAATAGCAAAAGAAAAAAGAACATTAGACGAGGGACGAGCAAAAGAGGCAGAAGGAGGTAGACTCTAGAGGGAATGATGATCAACGAAACCTCTAGCTTTGATTTAGCCGAACTGGCAGCTTCGAAATCCCCACTGCGAATCCCATCCGCCACATCTTTCCAAACCCGTCGACTTTCGAGTGGGCCTTGTTTAGAGATATCTTGGACGGTGATCTCGTCAAGTTTCTCTTCCGTCTGATCCAAGAATTTCTCTCCTGATCCTTGCCACCATTTAGGCACTTGTTTGACAAACTTCGAGAACCCATGCCATTGTCCTTCGATCTCATAAACCGGGCTTACCCCGGATGTGATCTTCGGCTGACTGTATATCTTCGCCGTAAATGAATGCGCCTTCCCCGAAAAATAACCTGTTCATCATCCATCCCAAAAAAGGGAGAAAAAGAATCAGCTTGGCTTCCTCTGTGCTTGTTATTCCAATCCACTTTTCCAGTACCTTTTCCTTTGAATTCCAAGACAGTATGGTACCCAGACGAGGACTGGATGTGAGAATTTTCAGTCAACTCAATGCTGTCAAGTAAGAAGAGCCACAAGAATCAATTATCGATCAAATTCCGATAATGTTGCAGATTATGTTCAATCAGCAGCTTACTAGGGACTAGCCATCCATAGACCTTCAATACGCAGCTTGGGTAGAGTGATCAGATAAGATTCAATAGTGTTATCGGGCAATTTGATTCTAAGAAGTCCATGTCCGACTTGTTTGACTGAGCACATTGGCATCAGGGTGTCAGAGAAGCCAGATATACGGGGGATATTGGGATTGAAGAACAAACATCAAGCTTGTAAGTACGTCATCAATTTGCGAATCTCATGGCCATGAGACAAACATACCAATGACACTTTTCCCACTAAACGAAGTCTTCAAGATCAACCAAAGTGTTCAAGTTAAAGTCAGATTGATCAATCGCTCCAAATCGGACACAAAACATGTTTTAAAGTTTGATGGTGCTTGTTTACCTTTTGACCACAGTGGCCTTGATAAGAAACCCCTGCTTTAGCATTTATCAAGCAATAAGCTGACACGGGTGGATGACTATAAAAAGACACACGTATACCAGATCAGTTAATTAGTTATTGATCTCTGTTGGAATTAGAAAATGGGAGAGATTGAAATGATTCAGAACGGGTTTTGTCAGGCCGAACTTAACTGAGAGACCTGTTCCGTCCATAATCTTAGTTCTCCAGTACTGTTTTCATCAGTAGAGGGGCCGGAATTCCAACTGCCTAGAAAGAGTTCTCCGAGGATCGGGTTTAATGGTTTCTCTTGAATCCGAACAAGTCGCGCACAGATAGGAAGTTATAAAGTGTCAGACATTTATTGAGCTGATCGTGCCAAAGTCAATGGTTTTGATGTAAGATCATGTACGTAGGAATAGAGTGAAGCAATCGATTATGTACTTTCTGTTCCAGTCTGAGTCTCTCGTCTAGTGAATTGACCTTTCAAAGTCGAGATAAACCAACTGTGTAAATCAAGATCATCGAGGCAGATAATCAACATGATCAGTGAGTAATTTGATAGGGCAGATTACCTTCTTGAAGCATCTAATGAGAAGTAAGTACCGGAGCGTCAAGACCATACGTTCCTCAGGATCCTTTCCGGTCGAAATAGCCGCAAATTCTCGATGTGGCTCTCCCTAGATCAATCATTTTTTTTTTTGTTGCAGAAAATAAAAAAAGGGGAAAAAACAGTCAGATGAAGAGATTCTTGTATTGTCATTCATGATTGCTCTGGGCAATTGAATGATAGTTGAAGAAATCGAATTTGACGTTAAGATGTTAGATGTGTATATGCGATATGGGTGTATGCGGCTATTGATTCATTTTTTGTTTCTTCTTGAATAATAACAGACCCAATATGATGGAAATTCACATAAACTTGTAGGACTGAAAAGAGGTATTAAAAAAATGAAGTAAGTCATGGAGGTTTTAATTCATTTAAGTAGATTTCAAGTAGTTTTTGCTGACCTGAGTATGAACGAGGGAGCGGTTAATGAGCTCAGATCCCCAGAAAAGGTTGCGATAGATTTCAAGAAACTCGTCCACGAGCTACAAAGCACAGAATTCAGCTTTTTAGAGTCAGATGACTGCTTGAAAGAGAGATATTTAATTCACCTTCGTTGGTTGGTGGGTACTACTGCTTCTTCCTCGGTGGCCATTTCGATGTTTTTTATTTCTGTGCAGTTGTGTGCTTGGTTTTTCGTCTGGGATTGTGTTGTTGGTTTTCCTTGAGAGTTGAGGTTGGAATGGTGTGGAGGAGGGATGTGAATAGATATGCTGTATTGATTACATAATCACTCCTGCCAACAGAAAAATCGCACTGATGACATAATCAACCAGAAACTCGTCAAGGCTTGAATTAGAATCTCCGAAGTGAACTCCTCTCTCCGGACAAAAAAATCACCAAGGCATTACACATCCCAATAACTTTCATCATCATCTACCCACTGAAGCCTGGACCTCCTAATGGATATTGACATAATCATATTGTAAGTCCATAGTCTGATATGTCATGTGTTTAATTACTGGAGGGTGTGTATGAAGCATATAATAACGGATAAATACCAGTTTTACAATTGGGATATGAGCTCTAGATGATTGATTGGTTGCTTCTGGTGCATCATTTTTCTACTTATGATATCTCCCCTCCAGGGAATTTTTGCCACAGACAGTTGTCTGTCAGCTATGTGGTTTCCCACTCTGACGGAAACTTACACAGCAAAAAAGGGACTGGTAAATTTGGACTCTAGCCAGAGAAACAATGGAGCAGCATCAGATATTTCTGATTATCTCTTGGCATCTAGTCTGCTGAAATTCATTTCTTCTTCTTTGAAAAACACATTGGTAATTGCAGCCTCAATTCCATCAAACCAACATTTTGGGTTGGTTGGATGCAGGAAGAGAGCTGAAGAGAGGCAGATGCAAATAAGCTCAGAGTTTAAGACACGCCTGTGCAGTGCCACAGACACGCCTGTATGAGAGAGTATTTTTCCTTTTTTACTGAGGAAAAATTATGAAAATTTAATGTCTAGATACACCTCAGGATATTTTTTGTTGAGCAGGTTTCGCCGGCTTCGCAGTTGCTTTGATGCCGAAACACAAACACATGCATACATAAGAAGCTAGATACCCAAAGGCAAGACAAGCCACAGCGAGTAAAATTTTGCATACATGACTAAACTGACCAAAAGTGTCTCTATATGCTTTTTAGGGTGCTGCCTTTCAAGACCAGCTCGGATCAAACCCAGGCCTAAATCTGAGCTGCAAAAAAAGAAGAAAAAGAAAAATCATGCATTTGCTAGTTAGATTTTCGCGTTTCTGTCCTATCTTTTGTTGCTTTGCAAGAGTTTTTGCCGAATTCAAGTTTGATCTCAACTTGCCTGCAGATGTAGAGGAGATTTCAGCGGAAGAACAGGGATTGGTGGCTGATCATCATGATCCCTTTCCCACCTCACCGCCGGATTCTTTGACCCCATCTTCAAGTGTGACTTCACCACAGACAATGGGCGGAAGCAAACGCAAGGGTCGACCAGAGGAAACTCACCAGTTCAGCAATCTTTCACCTTCGAGACTCTCTTGGCAACATGATATTCAGGCGCCTTCGACTTCCAATAAAAGGCAATTCACTCGGCTTCAAGGTTAGTTGTAATATCAGTTCTGCTGAAACTTGACCGTTGAGCTCACTTAACCCCATAACTGACCATTCACAAATGCAAATCGCCTCAACCAACGCTATACAGAAGAAGCAGCCCCATCTAGGAGCAACTCACTCTCTACTCAGCCGGCGGATAACGCCATTGAGTCGGGGGTGGGCGAGTTGAGGAACAAGAAAGCTAATCCCAATCTCGTGCGCCCGGATATATTGTACCTAAGTGGCATACCCAATCACTCAAGATGTCTACTTGGTGATGTTTCTAAACGTTGGTTCTCGCTATTTGAAAGCATAGTGAATTCCAAAGAGCTCAAATCAGCTCCGAGGCCAGCAAATATCGTCCACCCAGAGTTGCCGTTTGCAATGGTCCAACCCGCCGATGGACGCGAAGGCAGAGTGCTGAGAGTCATGCGCTACGAAGATGCTGCTAAACGGAAGCTAGCACTCCCGCGCCCTCAGAATTGTGTTTCATTTGGTAGAAGATTGATAGTTTATCTTAATCACTTACATCTAGAGGTTATGGAACGTTTGGGACTACCAGAATCTACGCAGATACTGTTGCACGACGATTTCTTGAAATGGGTGCATGGCGAGATCTTCCATCCTAGTGATCATGTTCTTCCGGTGCTGGGGACCATTGATAAGCCCTACCAGTCATGGGAAGAGATCTTGGAATTGAATCAAATTGGAAAGAATCAAGAAGAAATCATCAAATACTTCTCTGGAGATGGCAAACACGAAGAGATAACCAAGATTTCTGTATATCTATTGGAAACTTATCAGGATCATCATGAAAGTGAGAAAATTTGGTTATCGCAGAAGGATGAGATTTCCAATCTTGATACAGGAACTGATTATGTACAACCATTTACATCTATTTCATTCTTATGAATTTGTTTCAATGAACAGATTTTTATCTGCCCTCAAGTTATCTTGGCAAAGAACATGATCTAGCTGTTCTTTCATCATTGAAGTAAACTCTAAAATGATTTAATTATTTTTCATGGGGGGGGGGGCAGGGATAAGGGAAATACCACATTCTTTAAATTCAGGATTGAGAAAAATCCTATTCTCAGATTTCCTCCCGCAGATCATCCTCAATGGAATTTTTTTTTCTTTAAAGATTTCAATAAATGTCCTTTTAGGAATTAAATTTAGGGACAATCCCATACTGATGATAGTAAATCTAATTATTCAACATCGAGAGAACCTATTGATTTGAGGTGCAATGTTCTTATGGGAACCATTTGAAGGAAAAGGTTTTGGATTCTAACAACAAGACAGTAAATTTTTGGACAGCAAAAACAAACCCTGCCCTTTCTACAAAAAGGCCCAACTTTCAGCTGTGTACTTGCATGTGATAAGCATGCTAATCACACATAATTTCAATGGTTAGGTGCTGCATTTGATGGAAAATACAACTCTATGCAGTGCATCAAATTATAATCCATCTAGAAGGTTGGAAATCCTTTTTGGGACTTTCCACCTACTTGTACTACATAATTTTGTGTTCTCTGTGAGATGTAATATCCAATCATGCAAAGTGAGCATGAAAAACAATTGTAAAATCTATTTTTACTTGAAACCATGAGAATTGGAATGTCACTTGAAGTGACATCAAGGAGGCTTGGTGGGAGCCTTCACTGAGGCTTTTGTGAACAGTTCTGTTTCAAGTGTCCAAACCACCACACCACTCCTTTTTCTACTAGTGCAATATATTCCATTTATGTTAGATATGTGTAAGATAATCTTTAAGTGAAGAATGAATCAAGTGACACATGTAACCTCTTGATGTCACTCTTCAGCAAGAGACACAACTTTTTTTGTGGTGTGATGTAAACCATTAATCCTGCAACACCTGACAAGGTGCAATGGTGTGGTCCATACAAGTTACATATGAAACATGATTACATAAGGGAAACAGTGTGGGAGAGAGCTTGAAATTTAGTGTTTGCATTCACCAAGTGATCAGGAATTTGTCACAATGACAAGATTTCAGAACCAGATGTCACATATCTTAAATGGGTGGTGATTGAGTAATGATCTTGTAGAAACAAGAAAAGGTCATTGAGTAATGAGCTCCATATCATCACATATTGGATTTGTCAATATGAATGGGGTTCAAGTACACCAAATAACTCCGCCAAATTAATTGCAAGTGGGTCCTGTGCTTCATCTCCTCTGGTTATTGATTGCTGTTAGATCTCAATCCAACACAATTAAGATTCAAACATGAGCTTCTAAATTTTCAACTGATCATGATCAGATTTTGAATGAATTTAAAACTGAAACACTAAAAATTTAGGTTTCATACCTGCACCCAGAACCTTTGTCAAGGAATTAAGCTGAATCAAGCCATTCTCTAACCTGATTTGATTTCCTGATATTTGGGGTTACATAAATCTGATGATTTCAAACATTTGACCCAGACCATCCAAATTTACAAATTTACACAAAAAGTACTTAACTGGTGTCTGATTGAATAGGGGGGTTCATGATTGAAATTTATCAAATTTCAGAGCCCATTTTAAGGTGTTGATCAATCTCTTTCTTCAAAAATTAAAAGGTTGTACAGATTATTCAGAAAACCCCAAAACTGCTCACCTTGTAAAATCCTTGAATGTTGTGATAAAGGCCTTAAAATGGGCTCTAACAATTGATAAATGTCAACATGATCCTCACTAATGTTGTTATTCATCCACACAAAAAAGCAACATGAAAAATACAACTTAAGAGGTAGAGAAACACGCTTATATCACCTGGGGTCAGCTTGTATCAGAATGTGCACTGGACTGAAAAGACTTTGAGAAAAGCCTTCAGTCAGTTAGGGTTCAGACTTTAGCTATCTGATTTGTTGCTCCTTAACCCTGCTTAAAGCTGGAAAAGCCAAGCAAAAAAACAAATGTCAAGTTTTGTCATTTAATCAAATACCAAAAACACAATTGTAACACTTTTATTCCCTCCAAATAATATAACTAGTTCCTCAGGTGGAGCCAAAAACTAGTTTGAAACCATAATTTGTGGATCTCTATGAGGCATACCAAACCTAAATTTGGATCAATTGAACCAACAAAAATCAATATGCTTTGAATATCCCAAACACCTAGACTCTGGGAATTGTGATTAATGCAAGTCACAACAGACTGCATGTGTCATAACTCAACATACTGCACCCAAGTGGTGCCAAATGGGCAACATCACAGCTTTGTTATGGTGATGTTAAGATTGGTTATGTTTCCAGTTTTTTTGATAAAACAATCATCTACAAATTTTTGTCATTAGCAGGGTTTATGATTGAAATTTATCAAATTTTCAAAGCCCATTTTAAGGGGTTTATCAACCACTTTTTCAAAATTTAGAAAGTTGTGCAGTTCTATCAGAAACCCCCAAATCTGCCCAACTCATAACTTTTTTTAAAAATTTTGTTGATCGAGGCCTTACAAATGGCTCTAAAAATTTATAAGCTTCAATCATGAACCGTTCTATTGTTGAACGCAGTTCTGAAGAGTTCTGACCAATCAGATTCCGAGGA